TGCTGATGCACATTAAACCCCTTTCATTTACTTTAGTTTTTTCACCTAAAAGGTTTTAAGATGCTTAGACTAGAATCAGCTTTAACATGACTACACATGAATACACACTTGTCACACAGTCAGTGTGTATTCATGTGTAGTTACACACTGTTCTGTGGGCTGTGTATGCATTTTATGGTCTTTAAAAGGCAATTTAAAGGGATAGTTCAGGATTTCTGAAGTGGGGTTGTGAGGTCCTTATTCATAGTCAGTGTATTACCAGAGTGAACATGTTCTTAACACAACATACACTTTACAGATTTTTTACGGTGGGAGGTTTTTTTTATTTTTATATATAGTTAAGCCCAGTCTAGAGCCCTGTCTAACGGCCTACACCCATGGTACACCCAGACAGGTGATTTCACTCATTTTGCCTAATTAGACTCTTCTCAGGATGTTCAGTTTGGGCGGGTACTGACATTTGATCAAAGTTGCACCTGTTCAGATGGAACAATTTATACCTTTACTGTTCTTACTGGAACATGGAGTCTGGTGACATCACATAATCCCCAGTACAGCAGTGCCCACCTTCATCCAGAGCAGAGGTCTGATCAGCCACAAGTGAAAACACCTGAAGGCCTTTAAGATGTCTGGGAAGATGAGAGTAACCTGTGAATGAATTATCAGGGCGAAGCTGCACAATCCAGAACTTGGCATTACTAGACAAAATTGTAAACTTGTTTTTTGATTTGACTTTTATTTACTAAATTCTCATACAGATCCAGTTCCACAGTCTTTCCAACAGTCACCGACTCTGGTTTCATCAAAATAAATCTTAATGGACAGGTTGCACAGCAGACAATTGGACTTGTCGCAGCAGGAAAAACACCGGTGGACTTAACAGTAAGGACAGCTCAGTTTGAATTTGACGTGTCAATTTGAATTTCCCCTACGGGGGATCATTAGAGGAACATCTTATCAGTACCGCGGTTTTTGGATAAAATGGTACATTTAAGTTGAGGTTTGGCCTTTTGGCCCACTTCAAGGATGACTATTAGGTTTTTAGCCATTTCTGCAGCTTTCAATCGTTTTATCGGACCTGTGTGCACGAGGATCGTTTTCACAACTCGTGAGTAAGAATGCAGAACCTTTTTTCAAAGCAAAGAAAAAATTCCATTTTAAGCAAAACCGTTGTCATGTAAACAGGGCCCAGTAACAGTGACAATGAACCAGCATGCACAAAAGCAGCTGCTATGATATTTCAAAATGTCTGCTGTGCAAATAGTCCATTCACAGAGTAAGATGTGAAATATTCATGAAAATGGTTGCAATGCAAGCTAACTGCACCCGTCGAAGTACATTCTACTAAAAGTGCTTGTTTTTGCCCTTGACAGGCTCATATTGTTATTCTAAGTGTCTGACAACATTAAAGAAAGGATCCCTACAGACATAGAAGTAGAAAACAGCCATAATATCACTATCACTCACCGCCACACTCCATAGACAAAAACTGTCATTTTACCTTGCATACCATTATAACATTGTAACTTCACTCACTGTAAAGCTCAACAAAACAGTCTTTGTTAGTCTTTCCACTGTTCAGACAAACACCAACTCTGGTTTGCTCAAAACGAATCCTTAATTCACCGACATAGATGATAAAAACAGCAGTTTCAGTGGCTCTGCTCAGCTGCACATGGAGCAGACCGGCTATGGAAACAAACCACAGAGCGGATAGTAACACAGGCAGAGGGAGAGTGACACCATTCTCTGCTCAGGACACCAACCAAATAGTTGTTTTCTGATTTAACTGTGTTTGAAAAAAGTTTTCCATAAAACATCCTGCACATATGTCAAAAAGAGCATTGTTTTAGTATTGTAACAGATATAGCACTAATTCTGGTGTTCATAAGCCTACTATTTCTAGTTGGCTTATCCGACTGATGACGCATCCACTCTGCAATATTTCCATAAAGAAAAGGGGAAAAAATCATCTAAGCTACATAAATATGCTTAAATCTTGCAAACAATTTACACAACCCATGAAATCTCCAATAGAGATAAACAGGATTGCTGCATCAAACGTCTGCAGTCCTGAAAAAGCTGAACAGAAATATCTCTGAAAAGCTGTTCTGTGTTCACTGAATGATTGAGATTAACTTTCACACGGGGTACACACCTCAATGCTGTGATTTCCGCAGGGTAACTCAGAAGAATATACCATGTTTTGCCAAATAACTTCTTTGATCAACTTATCATGGTGTGCCAACTGGGGTTAAAAATAAAACCACAGCTTTTCTCAGAGGGTTTCACGCAGCACTTTGATCTTCCGTTTGACTAGCACAACATTTTTGGATTTATTCAGTCAGAACTCAGCGAGATGATTGGTTCTGGCCAAGAGGAAATGTTAAAAATACTGAAATTGGAATAGAAATGTTAAAAATGTTTTCCTTTCTCGGGCCAGAATGTGAAAATCTTACTTGTAGTGCTTTTTCAAAGGATGTGCTGCATCTCAAACATAGATTATTTTTTTTGTATGTGTTGCCAAATTACTTAAAAGAAACTGTTGTATCAAGCTGTTTTTCCAAAAACCTCCTCAAGTTGTTGTAAAGAAGATTAGACCCAGAAAACTGAGCTTGTAGCATACATATAATGAACTATTCTTGATTAATTATACAGCAGCATGAAAAATCAATTTTGGATGATTACATAAAGAAAACAGTTCCAAGGAGAAAAAGTTGTGCAAACTCTGAATGAGACGTATTGTGTTTCTTCTGTACACACCAGGCTACCGCTCCAGCTCCTCAGCCTGTTATGCTTCCACATAGCACGCTTTTTACATGATTTTCACTCCGTACAGTCACATACACACCAATTACTGCAGCCACACAATAATAGACAGTGTATTTGTTCATACAAAGACACACTCCCATGAGCACAACCCAGACAAAGACACACACACTCTGGTGCAGGCTGGCACTCGTCTTTGCCCGTCTCGCGCCTTCGCTCCACCAACACAATACTGTCACATTTTGGCGTGTCACATGGGCTCGGAGACAGACAAGGCTGTATTATCAACAACTGGCTGCAGCTCAGGTCCTGCGTGTGTGTGTGTGTGTGTGCCAGAGCTGGAGTTCAGTGCTCAGATTGAAGTGTGTGTGTGTGTGT